TGGGGCTTTGAGCAACCTGGTCTAGTGGAAGGTGTCTCTGCCCATGGCAGGGGGGTTGGAACTAGATGGTCTTTAAGGTCCCTTCCAACCCAAACCATCCTGTGATTCTGTGATTCAATGGAGCCCAGTTACCCCAAGAGCCAAGACCTGTTGAAAAGGAAGGGGAAGAGAAGATCAAGCAAAACGTGTAAATACTGGCTCTGCAGAAAATCTCTGCAATGTCATAGTCTCAGCTAGCACCGCACACTGGAAAGATAAGTCACCCCATAAAATCTTTAACTTCCATACCATAATTCCCCTGGCACCTCCAGGTGGGTCCATGCTGCTCACATTTTACTGTGCAAAGGAAGTAAAACCCCTGTTGTAGGGCATCCCAGAAGGTGCCTGTGTCCTTCTTCCCTCTCTAAAGGGAGAGAGGACTTCTGCTAGCCCATTCTTGAGGGTTGGCCATCACATTCAAGAAAGTGCTGGTTATCCTTCTGCTTTATTGCCTGGATATCTGGGGACTGTAAAATGCTCTGGGTCACACAGCAGGCTGGGTATTTTTTCAATCCGTATACAAAGGGAGCACATAGTTCAACTTCCTTCCTAGGCTTCTTCATTCCTCTGACCTCTGGACAAGTCGTGCCCACAGAAAAGCTATTTCTCATGCAATGTGGTCAGGGTAGTTGTCTGGCAGAGCCGTGCAATCCCTTTCTCCAGCAAAGCCCTCCTCCAGCCATGGAGCTTGCCCTCACAAGCACCTGGTCTTAGATACCTCTCTCAGCCACATGGCCCTGCTCATGCCCCAGCTGCACAATCCCTGCTCTTGGAGAGCCAGGTCCCTCTCTGCAGGAGGGGCAGCTGGTCCCACCCAGCTCCCAGTTTGGAAAGCATGGGTATCTTCACCCCCCTGGAGAGGCCAGGGCTTGATCTCAGCCCCCAGCATCCACCAAATTCTCTGCAGCTCCTGCCAGTTCGAAGCCCGGCTCTCCCCCCATCTCCCACCTCTTCTATTCTGTGCTCTGGGACCAGATATTCCTTCAGGTGGGCACTGCTTCTCCCTGTCTGAGCGCTGCTGGCCTGCTTCCCTTTCCCAGGGGCTGGAATTGCCACTAACAAGCCACTCCAGCCAAACCAGATGGGTTACAGGCAGTCCCAACCAATTTTGCGAGTGACACAGGGCAGGTCCCCACATCCTGCGCAGGTGGCAGAGGCCGGAGGGGAGAGAAGCAGACACCAGCACTGCCCTGGGCAGGGAACGTGACAGCCAGCCCGCAGGAAGGCAGGGGGGATCAGAGCAGCCCTCGCTCAGCACCGCGGAGCCCAGGAGAGACCTGGAAACAGAGGCAGAGCCTTCCTGCAGCCAGTCCAATAACCCCAGGGAGCTGTTAGTCTTTCCTGCCTGGTCTCACTGCACAAGCCTGTCAGATTTAAAAGCAAAGTCTGCCAGCTGGAGTAGGGCATTTAAGGAACCAGCTATGAACAGGAGAGAAGACAGCACCGGGGATTTACAGGTAAAAGGCATATTTTGTTTTAAAGGTGTGAATACTGAGGCAGGGCGAAGTGGAGAGGGAAGAGCAAAGGGTTAAAGGATGATGGAAGTATGGAACAAATTAAACTCATCTGGCATACATCTGATACATTAAATCCACATACTCTTTCTGCATGGAGATACCTCCCTGAATTATAAAGGGTAAGGGAAGGAGCGCTCACATCTTTGTCACTAAACATATCATTTGTGTTCTTAAATCTGAGCCAGTGGAAGTGTCAAACACTGCAAGCCAAATCCTATTTAATTTATTCAGCAATGCATCTGTGTGAAATATAGTCCAATTACAGGCATTAGGTTACTTTGCCATGGCTGCAGCCATTTGGCTTTTATTTCCAGCAGGCTCTAATTAAATCATCACAATGCAGGAGCAGACAAGTTTCCCTTATACGTGACTGCAATTAAAGACATGCAATCACAACATTTTTTAAAGTGACTCCAATCAATTGGTTACAGTAAAGTATAGCATATAATAGAGCAGTGACTCCACCGTTAAGACTGAAAGACGGTTTCTATTACAATAACGTAGTTCCCTTTTATTACGAGTTCTGCTCTTGGATAATTTATTTAAAGTTCATTATGTGTCTACAGCATATATCATTTGCCCTCAGCTTGGGCTGCAGAAGTCCCATTACAGCCAATTACTTAGTGTGATAAAATCTGCCACAGAACAAACTGTTCCTTAATTAGATTTAAGTTTTGTCTAAATTCTATTTGTAATTCAGACAGCAAAATGATAAGGCCAACAGCAAAGACCTGCTGTCTGCTTTCTTTGGTCCCTGTGGTAACCTGTTAGGTTGGATGTAATCTTAGTGCAGTTCAGAATTGAGACCCCACACCCATGTGCTTTTCTTGCAATACTTCTCTCCACTTCACATTCCCGTAACCGGTGCAGGGCTTGGGGATGGCCTGGCCCATGAGGGAGTTCCTTGACCCGAATCCAACCCTATCAGATACCTCATGGATGTAGCAAAGGGGATGGCTCCGAAAGCATCTGAGAGCATGTGGCTGTCAGTAGGGACATGTTCTTTAGCTATGGTAGGTACTTGCCTTCCAGCCCCTATAGGTTTGCTGCAGCAGTGCGCTGGTTTGGGGGGGAAAAAAGCTTCTGACACAGTGATAGTCCTACAAAACCATGAAGAAAGCAATGCAGGCAGCAGCACCCAGCTGTGCCCTTCACCTGGCTTAGTATGTGTGTACTATAATCACAGCAGCGTGCACAGCCCAGGTGCTTCCAGTGGCAGCCAGAACACCATGACCTGCTACTGCAGGATGGGGCCTTTGCTATTAGCCTGGCTAACCATTAGCCATATCAGAGGCTTCAAGTTTGCTTGGGGATGACAGTGCCGCTGCATTACTTCTTAACTGAACTAGAGACACAGGATTTATCCAAACCATTCCCTGCGCCATCCCCAGTCATGAGAAGCTGTTGGAAGCTGGTTTGCTCTTTAAAAACAAATGCCAATGTTTGGTATGCATCTCCTCAAGCTCCAGCTTCAGTTTTCAAAGTGCTTTAAATATGTTTGAACTAAATGTTCTATACAAATTTGAATTCAAATCCTGCAGCCTGTCTCTGTGAGATCTCGGAAGTGAGTGAGGGTAGAAGCTACATCAAGAAAATTCAGAGTAGAACAAGAAATAGAAGCAGTAGGATTCATTTTAACAGATCCAGACCACAGTAATTTGAGGATGGGCATCATCCTGTAGGAAGTTGCATTCCCCCGGAAAAAATGGCACTAGATTGTTTTTTTTTTTTTTCCCATTGAAACATTTGCACCACTTTAAAAGAAAGAAGGCATTCACACAAATTCACTCACTGGATGCCATGTTAGCCATTATTTGCCATGTGCTTCAGTGCCCCCATATTTCTATTGTAGAGACTATACCGGGCTGTGTTTACTTCCCTTGAATCCTGCTCACATCCCAGGCATATCCCAAGATATTGTGTCTTGCAAATGTTTGCTTTGCAAAGTTGGCTGAATTTATTCTGATGTTTCAGAAAACTTCTAGCTAAGACTAATGTCAAAGCAAAACACCATTTAAAACTTTTACAGAGAGAGAAATTTACATAGCGGCTAATGACAAGCCTAAAAATAACCTATTTCTTCGCAACATCAATCCTGTTAATGAACTAAAAGAATGAAGTATTCCTCTATCAGTTGTTTCCAAGGAGCAAGGAGAAAAATGTTAACCAACTCCAATATCAAAAAGAATATGAAAGTATTTCAACATCTACCTTGTTTTCCACTTAATTAACAAGGCAACAAATAGATTTTATGGACTAGTTATGTTCCAGACATTCCTCTCTGTGCTTTTGGTCAGGAGCACAACACCACTGGTCTGTCCTTCTGCTCCACTTGACCCCTGGTGAAAGCAGAAGATGAAGTTTATATGCCAGAAGAAACACATCACGCACTGTGGGGCTGGAAATCCCTTTTATTACAGCTTCACTGTGCCTGTGCTGACCCTTTCCTGAAAACATGTATTTTAAAATAAAATTGTATCTACCTCTATACAGATATGATAAAAGGCCTCTAGATCGGGATCAGGTCTCATCAGAGCAGCAAGACCTTTCTTTATTCAGTAAAGGCACTGTGCTGGTTTTAGTCAGGGCAGACCTCATTTTCATCACAGTACCTGGTATGAGGCTGTGTTTTGGATTTGCCCTGGGAAGAGTGCTGGTAACACTGGTGGGTTTTAGTTGGTGCTCAGGAGGGTTTGCACCAATGCAAGGCTTTTTTCAGCTTCTGATACTGCCCCTGTGTTCCCAATGCTCTCGCTACAAGCCAGGGGACACAGTTCAGACAGCTGACCCAAACTGAACCAAGGGGTATTTCATTCCACAGGACATCACACTCAGTGTATAAGTTGGGTGTGGGACAGGAGGTCATGGCTTGTTCATTAGCTTATTTGTTCTTTCAGTGTGCATTAGTTAGCTGGTGGGTCAGTTGGCTTTCTCCATCACTCTCTCACTCAGGGGCCTCACCTGGACTCGGGTGAGATCTCTTTCTTAGGCTTGCTCAGACTCTGCTGCAATTGCTCTTGGGCTCTGGCTCTCAGGCTCTCTGGCTCTGACTGTCACTACTCGGGACCTGGCTGTGTGTCGATCAGTGGGTGGTGAGCAGTTGTATAATTTGTTTTATTTTCTATTATTTAGTTACTTAGCAGCATTGTTGATATTAGTTTCACTATTTTGTTCATTTATATTCAATTATTAAATTGTTCTTATCTCAATCCACAAGTTTTCTTGTCTTTTCCCCACTGGGGGAGGGGGGGAGGTGTGCGAGTGGTTGTGTGGAACTTAATTCCTAGCCGAGGTTAAACTGCTACCAGAACTTTAATAGTAGCACTGATGGGAAGTTGAAAGGAAAGACCTGGTTATTAGTTGGTTTTAATGGGCTATGAGAAGGTCTTATCTGTCAGTGAACACAAAACATTTCTCTCTTCCTTAAGTGCTAAGGAAAAAAACATGAACATAACAAATGACAACTTAGCCAACTCCGCCACCTGGCAAGACACCAGCGGTGATTTCCCCAACTGCACTGATGTGGAATTTGACCTGAAGATTTGGTACCTCCCCATTATGTATAGCATCATCTTCCTGGTGGGCCTCCCTGGAAATGTCATTGCGATTTGTGTTTACAGCTTCAAGACGAGGCCTTGGAAGAGCAGCACCATAATCATGCTGAACCTGGCACTCACAGACCTGCTCTACCTCACCAGCCTTCCCTTCCTGATACACTACTATGCCAGTGGGGAGCACTGGATCTTTGGAGACTTCATGTGCAAATTCATCCACTTCGGCTTCCACTTCAACTTGTACAGCAGCATCCTCTTCCTCGCTTGCTTCAGCGCCTTCCGCTCCATGGTGATTGTCCACCCTATGAAGTTCTTTCACATCCAGAGGAAGTGGTGGACAGCTCGGTGTCTTGCGCAGCCATTTGGGTGATCTCACTGGCAGCTGTCAGCCCCATCAACTTCCCCATCTCCTCAAAAGAGGCACAAAACAGATCCTTATGTCTTGAACTCACCAGCTCTGAAAACCTGGCCACGATCAGGTGGTATAACTGGCTGCTGACCGGCCTGGCCTTCTTCTTGCCCTTGCTGACCCTCACTCTGCTCATTATTTACACCTTGGCTACCGGGCCCCATATGCGGGCTTGCTACAAACAAAAGGCTCGCAGACTCGCCGTCGTCCTCTTGGTCGTCTTCTATGTATGCTTCCTCCCCTTCCATGTCTTTTGGGTAGCTCATGTTGAACTACGTTTGTGTCCAGTGAGCTGTCACGTGGAGAAGCAAATCCACTCAGCCTATATCATCTCTCGGCCACTGGCTGCACTCAACACGTGTGGCAACCTACTACTTTATGTCGTGATCGGAGGTAACTTCCATCAGGCCATGCTCTCTCTTTCGAGGTGTAAGTGGAACAGATACGTCCAGCAGCCCAGGAGCAACAATTACGCGACCAAGTCAGAAACTGCATTAAAGTTATGAAGGAATTCCTTGAAGAAAATCCAAGCAAACCCTGGCTTTGGTGCTGTGACCTCCTGCAAAGGCAGGTGTGTTGATACGGTAGCAAGAATTGCAGCTGGCCTTGCCCTCTCCCTGCAGTAGAGCACTTGTCAAAAAGCTGTCTCGGGAGCAGGTTTATATATACCTCTCTTAGCAACCAAAGCAAGAGGAGTGAAAAGATTGTAAGCCACCTCAAAGGTGAAATTTAAAACCGCCCAACCAAACTGGCTGCAAAAACACTGGGGAAACACAGAGCTCTCTCACTCTAGGCTTTGCAGTTGGTTATGGAAATACAGGAAGCTTAGTCTGGACATGAGAACAACTTCCATGAATTTCAGCGTGGTCACTGATGTAGTGCTTTGTTTGTTACAGCCTGCATGGAATACAGCAGATATTGTCACAGTTGCTGAAACTCCTGGATTACATACCTAGAAAGCACCTAGATAAATCACATGTTTTCAGATTAGATGGACCTGATGAACTTCGGTGTAAGGCACTGAGGAACTGAATGGTGAAGTCTCAGAGCTGGCCTAGGGGAGGATGAGAGGAATACTAGAGGAGTACATATATGGTGAATACATATACTTACATATATGTAAGTGTATATATAAATGGAAAAAAAATAGAGGAACAAGGAATTAACATTCACGTTAATATCCTTCTCAGAACAATACTGAAATAGACAATCAGATGATAAGTCTACAGAACATTAATACGGGTGAATGCCAGCCAGTATGAATCTATCACCTACGTACAATCCCAGATCATTCTGATTTCCTACTACAACAAATTAACAGCCTTGTACATGAAGGAAAAGTTGATGTCATATATATTGATTCCAGAAGAAGTTTTGACACTGTCTGAGATGACACTCTGGTTTATAAGCTAAGGAAAAAGTATGGAGGAAACTATTTTTGATGATGACAGTTACGCTCAGAATGGACATGCTAGTGATTTACTATCAGATTAGTGGAAGTCACTGAGTGGTGGTTTGACCAGTCTGTCCTGGGTTTAGGGATATTTAGTGTGTTCATTAACAAATTGGATGATGAAATAGACTCTGGTTATTATATTTGCAGATGACGTGATGCTGAGAGGACAAAACTAAGTTGACAAATTGCAACTGTGGTCTGAAAAAACACAGGATGCTATTAGACAGTGACAGGTGCGCAGTTCTGTGTTTAAGTAGAAATAATGAACTGTTCAAACAGAAAGAAGAAAAAAACCCTCACTCTATCTAGGTATCAGTTCGGCAGAGAAAGATCTGTGGTCACTGTGAATCACAGCCTGGACAGGAGCTGACAGTTTCAGTGGGCTGACAGTACCTGCTGTGGCAAAAAGGGCAGATGTGATGCTGTGATGTATAATTAAGAATATAATGTGCAAGATTTGTGTAGCAGCCCTTACACCCTTTGCAGCATTGCCACCCTCCCAGCTGGAGCACCGTGTCCAGGAGGGCTGCCCTTCTGGGAAGACACAGATGACAGGAGTGTGGTAAGAGCGCTCAGCGAAACAGCCGGGGAGGAAGGAACTGGACAGAAAATCAGATGGTATTCAAACACCTCAAGGGTGGATATCAGGAAGGACTTTCTCTCAGGATGGGTGATGAGGCCCTGGTAAGGACAAGAGGAGTCTCCACCACCACAGATCTCTAGGAACAGTCTAGCCAGACACTGAGCAAGAGGGACACAAGCTTGCCTGGCCTCTGGATGTCCCTTTTGGCCACAAGGCTCTGCGATTACGTGCACATTGCCGGTAACATTGGTGCTAGCAAAACAAGCAGTACCCAGGAGCATCACCAGTGCCAGAGCTCATCCCACCATGCTGCCACAGCTCTTGGGAGCCTCGGGCAGGCAGCCAGCTGGCAGCAACCGGCACGCTGCCGGCAAAGCCTGGGCACCTGCCATGGATTAGCATGGCACCCCAGTGCACACAGGCACCTGTATAGGACAAGCGATGACACTGTAGTGTTTAACATGCCTTGTAGATATTTAAAATACATTATTTGGTGAAGGCTCAACCATCAGATACATCTTTCAGAAGCAGTGCCACAGGCCCTTTGACGTGTTTTCTATTTCAGATTGTCCTCTTCCGTATTGTTGTCAAAGTCTGAATTTTACAGGTTGCCACTAGATGGTGATCAATCATGGTCAAGCTACTCGGTTTCACATCTGCACAGTTGATTCAAATTCCCAAGTTACACAAAAGCACAAGACGATTCACATGAAATAAATCTTTTCTGATGTAGATTCATAACATCCCAGCTCTCTGACAGGGGCAAAAAGTACAAACACACTGAACAAATTCTCTTCCTCTTCCACATAAGTGAAAGCTCGAGATGTGTCTGCCACTTACACATCTGAAGGAGTGGATTAAAAATTATCTTTTTTCCTCTCTCAGAGCATTTTTCACTCTCGTTCTCAGAAGCTCTTCCTTCTCAAGCCCAAGCTGAGCTTATCACACACGAGCAGAAGCTCTTCAATACAACTACACTTACAGTATAAAATGGAGCAGCTAAAGGTAAAAGGTGTGAAATGGAAGTGTTCAAGGCTTTCCACCTCTAAGAGCAAGAGTGACAGTCCCACAGTTTCAAACACTTGGAAAGGGACTACCATAGGTGTGGTTTAGTTGGCTTCTTCCTGTCTTGCCTCCTCATCCACCATCTCTCTTCACTGAGTTTGGGCTAAACTAGATGATTTTAATGTGCCTAGGTGGATTAGGGAATGCTTCTGGGAGCTGTAATTCACTGGTGGGGCAAGAACCTCCAGGAGAAGGGCAGTCACTTCTTCCAGCAGCATGGCAGGGTCTGTAAAAAGAGAAAAGCTCATCCTTGATGCCGGCATTTTTAAAGCATTCAGGGACTGCTCAGGTGCTCTGCAGGATGGGGAGATCATTATCTTGCACAGCTTATTCGTTTTGCTTACAGTGAAAGGTGACATCTCGATAGGTTCTATTTTTAGCAGCTGTTAAGTTTACTGCAGAAACAAGGATAAGTGCTTCAATTGCAGTAAACAGGAGACACTTTCCAAGCTCTGTACACAGTGTGACAACACAGCTACATAAATTACCACGCTATTGCAGGCTAATTCACAGCAAAGTTATGCCCCAGTACCCAGGCTTCTGTCAAAAGTCTCTGGCAGGTTTGTCTGCAGAGACAGTCATGTCAACTCAAGCACCTACCAGCAAGCTGCTCTCTGCCTGCGACTACGCAGGGACCCAAAAATATAACTTTGCAAGGTAAACCTCTCAGGGGAGTGTCAACTCTGATGGTACTAAAGGTGAAATTTTGGAATTGCTGACTGCTTTTGTAGACATGTGGAACCTTATTCTTCACAGTGACTCATGTACTGTCACGGATTGCAGCAGAGCTATTTTCTACCCTTAATTGTCTGGGATGGCAATCAGCAATTTTTTTACCTTTTCTCCCAAAATCATATGTTTCCATAAGAAGTGAAAGCACAAGGCACTCCTTGTACTCAAACCTCCCAGAGAGCAAAAATGCTGGCTGTAACGTTCTGTATTAAAAACAAAATAGAATCACAAAATCTGTCCTAGTCCGGCTGCCTCTAGCTGCCTTTCAAGCAATTCTGTGTCGTACTGAACACCTGAGAAGAGAGCGTGAAGCAGACAGCATGTAGCATCAAAATGAGTATCCTGGTAAACAGCTAGTAGAGAGAAAGGCTGAAATTGCTTGAGAATGGTCTACCCTTACAAGGTCTGTGTTGGATATTGCTGTGAGACGAGGCTGCAATTTCATCCCTCTGCAACAGCAATGTGCAGCTGGGATGCTGCTGCGTTAGGCGAACAGCGTAACTGTAGGGTAGTGATGCACCACGTGAAGCGGAGGGTAGTGCCAGGCTCATCACTGAGTCATTTAGACCTCTGATAGAAGTTGTCATTTTGCTGATAAGGCTAAAAGAGCAGAATAAACTGTGAATGAATGCTTCCATCTGTCAATATTTTCTACTCTGAAAATGCAGGTTGAGTGAACCTAAACTTCAAAGCAGCAAACAACAAATGAACATATCCCTATTCAACTCCTACGAGCCCCAAACTGTATTTGCCTTTCCCTGCCAGGAGAAAAGGAGAAGACATGTAAAGGAAAATACTTCATGTGTTCCCTTAAAGCTCCCTTAATGTTTTGTGACAGTAGTGGCATTCAACAGTGCCAGCTGATGCTGCTCCAATTTAAAGGCCACACACTAAAGTCTAGGAAGGGCAGGAAAAAAGTTTACCCCAAAGAAAATTTATTTCGAGGCCTGTTTTCTGAATAGCAACTGGAAAAGAGCAGTACTTGATATCCTAGCCTACTGGGTGCTGCGGTGGAGAGCAGAGACAGTCAGACGCCTCCTAAAGCAGGAGAAAAAAAAATACATTCCTCATTTTAGTCAGAGCTATACTTTGGAGCCCAAAAGGAAAGAAAGGTGGTAAACACTGAGCTAAGTGTGTTTCCAAAATAAAATTTAAAGCTCAAATGCTGATTTTTTAAAAAACACAGAGAGGGAAGATGATTGTTCAGGGCTGCTGCAGGCAAGTATAATGCAGGGTTTTTTCGATTCATCATTGCTAGAACCTTAAAAGGCATTGAATTAAAAGGTATTTTATCGTCTAAGGTCTCTCCTGGGTTTCTCTGCTCCCCAAAATGGTTGATGTCACCAACTTCTAAACCAAAACGGAGACGATTGCCTGAAAGTTATAGTACCAGAGATGCCCTCAACTTTTACAAGGAAAACGAAGTTCTGAGCTTCTGTTTTTTTAAAAAAGGGAAAATGTGTTTTTTGAAATTACTTCATGGATTTCCTTTTACTTTGTAAAGTAGTGAAAGATGATAAGCAAAGAAGAAAGAAATACAACTTTGTGCACAGGCAGACAATGCCATACTGAATCCTAATAAAGCAAGGTAGAAGGTATAGCCCCTGGAGACACCTTCCTCCATGTGTTTTCATTAAATATGGTACATTTCCAGCACACTCCCCGCTACC